TTTAATTAGAATCTTGATCCGCACGTACCCGGTATTAAACAACCTTACAAGCGACCACGGTTTCCAACACATCCCGAACCAAGGACAATGATAATTCCACTTCACACACCATTACATTATGTTACCTGAATGTAGTAGCAATACAAAATGCTAAGTTGTTTAAAACTCCCAATATTGTTTATCTTTGATAATTTATAAACACACGCTTAGTTTCATAAAGTTATCTCAAGAATTTTCTAACGCAAACTCTCTGTAAAATGCTAGCGCAAACTATCCGCCAGGTTTTGCATTTTCAGAGTTAATACTCTGTACGTACATAGAAATCATTCTAGTGATCCTAAAGTCCGGTGTCATTCATTGACTACAGAATTGAAGTACCTGAGGCATTCCATTTGCAAAATTGAAAAGATCTCTCTAAACCCTATTGTGTCTTCAGCCCATTTACAGGGGTTAGGATAGGGGGCTAGGAAGGTTAGGGATAAAAAATCTATTTTATGAATGTTGAGTGTCCAAATAGAAGGACATTAGCCTTCAATGTCCCCGAAATCAACCTGAACAATTAAACATTTATTCAAAATGTAAAGACTGATCCAATAAATGATTAAATCAAGACGGAGTAATTATTAAAAACTAAAGATGAAATATATGCATTGGCCACAACGAAATTAGAAGAGCTTAGCACATCAGCAAAGCAAACAGATACACAAAGTTCGTACACAACCCACAAGTTTAATAAAAACAATATAATCAATCATATATATATAGCGTTGCATTAATGATAAAGCTGAAATTGAGCTTAATTAATCAATCACTGTAAACCGATCAATTGCTAGGGTTGCTGCGGAAAGAACCCAAAGCCTTGACGGCGGCAGCTCTGAGGACGTACTGGTGGTAGGCGGCGGCTGCCAGAGCTCCCACAAAAGGGCCCACCCAGAAGATCCAGTGCTCATCCCAGATTTTGTTATTGTTGTAGATGACGGCGGCGCCAAGGCTCCTGGCCGGGTTGATGCCGGTTCCGGTGATGGGGATGGTGGCCAAGTGGACGATGAACACCGCGAAACCTATGGGGAGGGGAGCCAGGACGGGGACGTGAGAGTCACGCGCGCTCCTCTTTGGGTCCGTTGCGGAGAAGACGGTGTAGACCAGGACGAATGTGCCAATGATCTCCGCACCCAAGGCGGTGCCCTTGTTGTACCCGGCGCTGACGGCGTTTGCGCCGCCGCCGAGCTGGTTGTAGTGGCCCTTCATGAACGCCTTCACCAGCCCCACCCCGCAGATGGCACCCAAGCACTGTGCTCCCATGTATGACACCGCCCTTAGTAAGGACACCTTCCTAGCCAGAAACAGCCCGAATGTCACTGCCGGATTGATATGCCCACCTGTTTTAATCCAATTGATTATTTAGTTCAATTTAAAATACAGGACAAGTACTATATATTAGGAGTAATAGAGTAATTAAAGAATGAATTAGAACCTGAAATTCCGGCGGTGCAGTAGACAAGAACGAAGATCATGCCACCAAAGGCCCAAGCTATGCCGAGAATTCCGACGCCGTCGCAGTGGTCGGCGGCGTTGAGCTTCTTGTGGCCGATGACCGTGGCGACGGTGACGTAGAGGAAGAGGAGGGTGGCGACGAACTCGGCGATGATGGCGCGGTAGAAAGACCAGCGGTGGAGCTCCCCAAAGTCGAAGAGGGGCGCCGGCGGGGGATCCACGTAGTCTTTCCCGCCGTGGCCATGTCCGTGGGAAGCCCGTCCCTCTTCGCTCATCATTTCTTTGGACATTATAAAAAATTTGCTCTGTTCGATCGCAATTCGGAAGCGCAATTAAATTAAAGATTATACGAATGAGTATACGCAGAGGCTATATGTGCGATGATGGCTGCTTTTTATTTATAGATAGAGAGAGGTGAGTGGTCACAACTATCCCCACTTCCCGGCAAATTTAGAATCATCAATTATTTTTGGAAAATTATTGGTAAAATACGATCACAAATTTTAAAATCGACCAAAATATAATTAATTACATCGTATGGTATCAATTCTTCAAAATATAATATGAATAGATGTTGTATTGTACTAGTACCAGATTGAACCGTACTAAAATAAATATGAATTGGTCAAAAATAAAATTGCCTCTATCATATACTATATGGAGTATAATGTACTTTCCGGTTTTGATTTTTTACACTCAATCATGATCGATCTTAGACAAATAATTAAATTAGAATTACATGATAAATAAATTACTTAAAATGATATTTTAATATATTTACAAGAGATAAATCTCATAAAATCTTTCTTATATCAATATCTAATACTTCTTCCGTCCCCAAAAGGTCCCCCTTTCATTTTTTTGTTGTCCCCAAAAGATACTTCTCTTACTTTTTCATACCCTATTTATTATATCATACCTTTTTACTAATAATTTATCCATCACATCTTTCTTTTACCTACTGTATTTTTGAAAAGTCAACACAAAAATATCTCTCCTTTAATTTTCTAAAAAGACAATAAGGGAAACCCTTTTAGGGACGGTTAAAAGAGGAGAAAAATTCTTCAATGGGGGTGGTTATAAATGGCGCTAGATTATGCTAGAATAAGAGAAACCATATAAATATCTTGTACATAAATATACGAACCTATTTTTATTTTGGATTCTTGAATTTTTTTTCAAAGTGCTACTGATTTGATTAAAATGTAATACTTCGATCCAGTATTGTTTATATTTTCTCAATCTAATAATGCACAATGAGATAATAACTCCTTTTTTTTTGTGTCCACTCAAATTAGGGTGAGGTTCCAAGTGAATAAATCTTGAATAGTGAGTTGACCATATAGGAGAAATGTATTGAAAAATGTTAGAGTTTATCCCTCATCGGAAGTTGAATAGAAAAGTTATCGGTATATAAGGTCTTGAGTTGAACTAAGTAATCGATTGGATTCAATCTTTTAATGCGGTTCAACCCAAGTGTCTTATTACCCAATCCAGTTGTCCATACCCATCCTAAAATTCTATCATGGTATCAAAGCAGGTTTTGGCACACCTCGTTTGTCAAGGTGTCCGTCTAGACGTTCATTCCTAGCAGCCCGTTTGTCTTTAGCCCAGTTGTCCGTATGGAGTGTGTAGCCAACGGCCTGTGGCCTGTTTAACACGATTGCTCGTCTGGAAATCCATACTCAGCGGCTCGTGGTCTTTAGGTGTTGGCGCTAAAAAAAAAAGTCAAGGGATTGGGAGTTCATTTGCAAGTGGTCAACCGGTTAGATTCAAAATGGCCCGGTTGTCCACTTGAGGTGGAGTGTTAGAATTTATCCCACATCGGAAGTTGAATAGAAAAGTTATCGGTATATAAGGTCTTGAGTTGAACTAAGTAATCGATTGGATTCAATCTTTTAATGCGGTTCAACCCAAGTGTCTTATTACCCAATCCAGTTGTCCATACCCATCCTAAAATTCTATCAAAAAAAATACTGGACTGACAAAAATATTTGTGCAGTGATTAATTAATTACAATAAGCAGAACACGAGTACAAAATAAAAGTAATGTGTTTAAAAAGAAGTTTAATGGCTAATAATGAAATGAAGTTAGATGGGTACGTTTGAAATGGGCCATGAAAGACAGCTAGACCATGTGCAGGCGAGGCGAGGCCGCAAGGGGTGATATATGAATATATCTTTTTTGTGGCGTTGAGTGCGGTACGTCTTACGTGTCAGTGTCCCACAATCCATATCTTTATGTCCTCCATCGCTCCCCCATTTATCTCTGCCACCGCACCGGCGGTGAGTTTTGCGGCGGACCTCCGTGCCCCGATTCAATTTCCTACTGTTACGATGATGAGTAGTTGTTAGAACAGAACGTGAGTTCGGTAAACCCGTAAAAGTAGTGTTCTTTTTCTATTTGGAGTTACAATAAAATACTCTCCCTCTTAAAAAAGAACGTCACATAATATTTTCTCATTAGCTGATTGAGCAACAAAGGATAGATCACTGCCACAAAGGCTCTCAAATTTTTACATTTCTCAACAATGGAGTTAAAATATGACCAATCACTCGAGCTACTCTTGATCGCCTCCACTGCTTCCTCGCAGTCGGATTCAAGAATCACCTTCCTCCAGCCTCTTTTTTTATCCAGCTTAAAACCTCTTTGATACTCAGTGAAAAATCAAATGTAAAGATTTTTTAAGATGGTGGGAGTAATAATTAATGTTTTGCAAGCATATATTAACAGCTCGTACAAATTACAATTACATTTAAGCTCCGCTTAATACCCAAAATTTAAGTCATGAAATTAGAATTGTGGACTGTAGTTCCAATTCTGGTTGTTGGTAATACAAAAATATATGGATTTAGAATTGATTGTGATGGATGTATTTCACCCATGACCGGTCAAAGGTCAAGACCGGATAGTTGACCGGTCAAAGAAGTCAAACTTGCAAGAGAGGTCTGGATCGTCGGCGAAGGGATGATTGGTTGACCAAAAGGTTGACCGGTATACTTCGGATAGTATACCGGTCGAACTATACCGGCGTCTAATTCACCCTACGAAGTTGGCCACGCCAACCTACAAGAACCAACCGGTGCAGTTCCTAGAGATTGGGGGAGTGTCGGCAGGAGGAATCCAAAAGGACTTGGATTGTAGTGTTTGGAATTGCAGGGATGCTGAGGGAATATTTCCAAACCAGAACGCGACAAGGGCGCCACCCCCCGCGCAAGATGACAAGGCAGCTCAGAGCCAGTCACTTCACACCACGCCAGCAGCATGCCCCCACGTGGGCGCACGTGGTCCTGCCCCCAGCCTAGTATATATATCTCTTGTAACCCTCGAATAAGGGGATCCAAATTCACTCTCTCTAAACTCCCTTGTAAAAGTGACCGGACACTCTCCGTTTTAATATAATTCGGGCTACAGGTGTTCCACCTAAAGTCCTACCGGTCATTCTGAGTGTTTTTACTTTCTTTACTTTACTGAATCAAGCCAACAATTCTAGACCCGGTCTAGTATAGTTTGACCGGTCAAGTAATTTACACCATCATTTTTGGCGCCGACCGTGGGACCGTTAAGGTTTCTTCTCGTCTAAACACAAACCTACCCACAAAAACACCACTCGAAATGTCTTCCAGCCAGCAAATCAACGCCACCTCTGCTCAGGTGCAAGCCACCACTGAAGGTGCCAGCATCCCCATGGCTGTTACCCTGCCCACCGTTTCTGCTCCGGTTTTGCCATTGGGACTGGGCTCGGTTCCAACACCCAGCATGGTCAGCCCATTCACGGCCCCCGTCCCTTCCGCTGGGCCAAGGGTCACCTTTCCACCAAGCATGACCCAGTTCATGAATGACCCAGCCAACTTACAAGCCATCCAGGGCTTTGGCCAGGTCATGGCCATGTGCCAACAGAATGGGGGAATGCCTTTCCTCCCAGGGATGTTTCCATTCGCCCTTCCAGGTG